ACACAGCCCGGATCTTGTGCCCCCATCGCTTACTCCTCTTGCTCCTGCCATGTTCCCTCCATGGCAAGGCAGGACTTTAGTGACTACTTGATAAATGAAGAAATGAACAAATGATCTGGAATACTCGCCTTTAGCCCTTATAATGCTCCCCAATTTGGCTCTCTGTTCCCGCTCTCAGGCCTACTACGCCTTTGCCTTAGAGTTAGCCAAGCAGAATTCACATTCTGAATCTGCCATTACTAACCTGGGCAAGTCACTGGATCTCTCTGGGTCTTGCCTTATTCATCCATAAGAAGGAAGAAAACAGCACCCATGATTCCTAAGGCTCCTGTGAAATGAGACTGCATAGACTCCACCCTGGGAGTCTAATAGATCCTGGCACATAGTGGGCAATTATTAAAGGTGAATTTCTCTTTATTTACTTTCTTTACTTCTTGAAGGCTTGCCCATACTTCTCACCCACTCATCATCTCTCAGGAAGCCCACCGATGCCAGGTGTGTCTTCCCTGGGTACCATATTCCTTGTTTCCAAATCCCCACTATTCAAACTCAGAAACTGGACAGATTTAGGTACATTTTAAAGATAACACTTGCTGGGGCCAGCAGACAGTGTAGGGATTAATTACATCACTGGACTCCTACTTGGCTCACTGTGGTTCAAGTCCCAGACCTGGTGGCTTGAAAATCATGCTGAGTGTGATTGTCTGTGCACCCAAGATTCCAGAAGGAGAATGGAGAAGAAACTGCAGCCTGTCCACACACATGGGGGGTGATTTCTCATTTTTCCTTTCACTGTCTCTGTCCTCTCACCCCCAGTGCATGCACCCTAAGGCAAAAACTTCTCAGAAAAAAAGATCATCTCAACTCTCACTTCTAATCTTCCCAAACTCAGGAGGTGAATAGATGAGGGTAACACAGAACCTTAACTATCCAGATTGGCCATGGGAACACTTGCTATCTGAACTCAGGAACTGAGTATATTTAGAAAGCAAGTTTGTATTTGTACTGCCCACACTGTTAATCGTAGACACAAATTTTACCCCCATGGTCAAAGTGTTTTGGAATAGATTTGAAGTCAGGGCTTAGAGTTTACTATTTCTCCTCAGCGCTAAATGTAGAGTCTTCTGAATAGAAGGCACTCCTCTATCCATTCATTCATTCATTTGGGTTATAATATACAATATGTGAATCCTGAACATTTTAAAAGCTCTCCACTACCACCTGTTTATCTTGAAAGCACTGAAAATATGTATTATGAATTCATTATTTGCATCACAAAGAACATCAAACACATACATAATATCCTTAGCCAAATGTACATAATTTTTAAATGGCAGAATTTTTGAAGATTACACAAAAGAAAAGAAGAAACAACCTACTGATGCTAGGGCCAAAATGTTGACTTAAATTTTCCTATTGTTTTACACAAAGGTAACTCCCTTTGGCCCTTACATTTTCAGTTTGGGTCTATTGCAACTTTCACTGTGGGAGAATTCAAGAGAAGAGAAGTACCCTGTAATAGTGAATGCACACCCATTACCCGAACTCATGCAGTCATCATTCTAACCTAATATGATGTCTGGAGTATCCATGAGTTCCTGTGCTCAAAGCCCTTCCTCTTACCCTACATTGCATTTATGTGGGAGGCTGTCCAGTCTTACAACCCCTACCAACAATGCCTACGAACTAAAACAGCCTAAATACGTCTCCGAACCGACTTCTGTGCCTAGTGGTCTGGGTCCATATTCATTATATGTAGTTACGGGCACTATATTTAAATAGTTAAACTCTTTATAAGTTTTTGGCCACTTGATTTCATGAAACTGGTAAAAGTTAAATGTAGCCATCAGGATTATTAAACAGGAAGGGAGATTATACCATGGCAGCATACAAAATATTGCTTTCTTGGGATTCTGCCTGATTTTCTATTGATAGGCGGAAGGAGCATTTGTCCTAGTTCTGGCCCATTAAGAAATTGACAACAGTCTCTCCTACACCAAATTAAACTGTCTGTCCTAAAACATGGACCCCTTTTTTCCAACATGAAGTCCCAAGCACACAATTAGTCTGTTTGATTTCATTAGACCCCAGAAAAAACGGTTGAAGTTTTCTTTCTTTCAGATGGTAACCAAAAGGGTGAAGTTATTTATATCCACACGCACATTGCTAATTAAGCTAAACAACCAGTACAATAGAGTGTGGTTTATTAAGTAAGACTGGCCAGCTCACCTGACCCCCAGGGCTATACCAGGAAAATTCTGCAGCTCCAGGGGGAACTGCACCTGCAACCAGGAGTGCTTTCTTCTGGAGAGCTAGAGCTCGGCCTCTGGAGTTCTATAGCCGTCACCTAAAGCGTAAGTGGGATGCTGGCAGAAAGCTGGGAGGACAGATGAACTGTTTGGACTGCCTGCATTGTTGGCTACTGGTACTATTGGTCAGTAATGAGGCAAATTTTGAACTCATAAAGGAACAACAGGATCATTCCTCCAAGCCCTGCCTTTCATAGGCAAGAAGACTAAGGCTTAGCAAGTGTCCAGTAATGGACTTTTCCAAAGCTATGTGGCTACTAGGGATAGATGGACAACTGAAAGGTTAGTGTTTAGATGCTAATGTACTGGTTTCTCAGTATATCACAGTCCTTTGTAAATTAGCTACAAGTGATGATTTGTCCATGAAGCCTTGGGCTATAGGCCCATAGACTATTAGAACTACAAATAATCTTAGGGATTATCTTTTTCCATGTGGAAAAATCTCTGCTTCAATGTCTTCATCTGTAAAATGGGAATAATAAAAAGTCTGGTCTGTCTCTCCATAGGATTGTTACAAAACAACATTGGAAGTGGTTTTGAAAAATGACAAAATGCTATATAACAATGAGGTGATAATTGTGAGGATGATGGCAGCAATAATAATGACAGTAGTGAAGTCCTGATAGAAAGCCTGAACCATCTGGAAGCTCCTTGACTAGATCACTACGGTGAACATCAGAACAGATGCTGCTCCAGTCCCATTTTCCTCACTAGCATGAGGAGTGTAATTACAGTTGTAGAAATGGAATGCGTTTTCTAAACTCCTACTTGCCGACATATGCATGTATCTGAGCAAATGTCATTCCCTTCAAGTGGGAGGCCAGGCAGCAACTCTGGCCCTGCTGGAAACAATCCTTGTGGTTGGGAAAAATTCAACCTTAACTTTCAGACAGAGTGGAGAACTATTTGGATCATGTAATTAAAGAGGGTGATTATGCTGAGGTGTGTCATTTGAGGTCACAGACAGCAGCTATAGCTGTGAGTTCACAAGCTGGCTTTCTTGGTGGTCTATAACTGGCCCTGAGGGATGCCTCAAAAGCTGCCCTATCCCTGGGGCCCCAGCAGAGATTAGGGAGAGTCTCTGTGGTCCACATGGGCCACTCATAGATGCTGCTCAGGACTTGATGTTCCCGACTCAGCCCAGCCTCCTCAAGGCACAGTGTAGGGTGACAGTGGCAATAGCAGAACACCAATGGTCACTAGTACTCCAGGGACTGGTGCCAGAAGTCTTCTAGCCACCATCTCCAACCCACATAAAAGGTTGCACAGTCACCTGCCCAGGGCCATCCAAAGACCAAGCAGCAGAGATTCAGTCTGAGTCTGACAGCTGTGGCCTTCCACCCCTCCTTCTGTGAAGCCCTTATGGGCCATCCCTCCCCTGGTATATAACGTGTTACTCCTGCCATGTGCATGGTTCTCAGCTGAGGCAGGGGCAGTTTCTCTTCTCTTCAAATTACAGTCATCAAATCTGGGCAATAGTGACACCTGTTCTGTGTCTCCACTCCTAATTCAAAGCCTGACCTCTGTCCCCGGAGTGGGGCAGGGTCTCTGAGAATCAAGGCTGCCACAGGTGTTTCACCTCTAGCCTGCCTTCCTTTCCTCACTCCAGTTCAGCTATGCAGGGCAGATCTGGCTCCTTGCTGGCTGGGCTAGGGGATGCAGGCAAACGACCGATTCCTCTGACTCTTACTTTTCATCAGCAGTACAGGGATCATGACCTCCACTCAGTGGGTGCTTGTGGGACTCTGAGCACCTACATGAGGTCTGTTAGCACAGCAGTCTGGAAACCGCCATCTTGACCTCTCTACTCCCTCTAGATATTACCGAAGGCTCGAGAACCATCAGAGACAGAAGGACTCACTACTGGTAGCCCTTCTCGCCACCCAAGTGTGTGCTTAATAGTTAGGTGACTAAAACCAGGGCAGATGAGAAGCACATGTCAGTACCTGGGTCTATCTAACTCAGGCTGGGCCTGTAAATCCAATAGCTCTCAGGAAAGCTCTCGTCAGGGAGGCACACAAGTGAGGCTGCGGGGCAGACCCAACGGTGCCTCTCTGTGTGATTTGGGAAGTTTGCTTAACCTCTCCCAGCCTTAGTTTCCCAAGGTGTAAAGAGGGTGTGGGACTGTAGAAAGGTCATCGTGAGGACCGAACAAGATGATGCACAGAGTGCAAGCTGCTGTCCTCAGTGCGGTGCTGGTTCCACGCCTGCCCGGGAGTCTAACAAACAGTAAGTGGATGGATGCTCACCTATCTCTGGCCTTCCCACCTCCTGTCAGCCCTCACTCAGGAAAGACAACACCTGAGGTAGTCTATCTCCCCTGCTGCTCTCCACAAAGCACAGAGAGCAGGGCCTTCTCCTTGGCCCCTAACACCAGCGGCGGGGCCTACCCTTTTCCACAGTCTCCTCTCCTAACACTGGGCTCTGGAGGGCCAGGATGCCCTAGCCCCCAAGTCCAGGGTCACCCCAATCTTCCATGCCTCACCAATCCCTGGAACCTGGCTGGGTCCTTGAAAGTGGCTCCAGGACCCAAAATTCTGGGTCTCTGGCCCAGACAGTGTTAATAAAAAGAGGAACTTGAGCTCTCAGTGTTGCGTCTTCTTGGGCCATGCGAAGTCCCTACTCTGTGGGCAGAAGCTCAAGGAAGCAGGGGCAGGGACTAGGACCAGAACCCCCTGGTTCTCCCGATACCTTTCAACGGCGCAGGCTGTGGCCTCGTGGCTTATGGATGAGGAGTAGGTCTGCCACTCTCCCCTAGGCAGCTCTCGCACCTGCACGGTGAAGTAGCGGATGGGGGAGGCTCCGTCACTGCCCGGGATCCACTGGAGCCGGAGGCTGCGAGCTGTCACTTCTGCCTGGGGCACTAGGAGCTCTCTGGGGGGCGCTGGCCGCTCTGTAACCAAAGATAGACAGACCAGGGACAGATGAGAGGTTGCTGTTTCCAAAATGTTCCCCCTGGAATTTATATTGCCGTTTCCTGCTG